TATTACTACCACTATTATTACTATTATTAACATTATCACGATGTGAAATTCAGAAACGTATAGGTATAGTGTAATATTTCGGGAAAGAAGCGAGAAAGGGATCCACACACGCGTTAATTGAAAGAAAGAAAGAAATAATATTGGCATGGGTTACTACACCCGTAGCGCACGATAGAGACATACGGTGAAAAAATGAAATACACATAAAAACAAAGATACACGTATACACGTACATACCGACACTACGTGACTATGCCAGTGATGTATCATAGTAAACTGTAAGTGTAACTTTTCCTCCCTCTTTTTTCTTCGATACCTATTTAAAAGAAAGAAATGACTAGATGATAAAAAAAAAGAGAAGAAAGAACAGATAATGGTACGCGTGGAAGGTAAATGCTTCGAGAGAAAAGTCCGTATCGTCGGGTATTTTTGAAAAAATACACGGTGTACAATGTGTAGAGCCACCATGTAATCAAGCTATAGCCGATTTAGTCGTAATCAGAATTACTAGTGACACAACACGCAAACCGGTGTATGGTTCAAACGTAAAAGAAAGAAAAAACACATGGCGTTTTCGTCGACGAAAGCGCGGTCCGATTCGAAAAGAAAAAAAATGAAAAACTAATTATGACCCGTTTGACACAAGCTCTACGAACAAAACAAAAAAGATAATGTATTTCATACGTTTCGATACACACGTCATATTGACCATGATATTATAGATGTATACACACACGCAACATCGTACACTGTTATACGTGTTACATGTCGGTACATCGATTGCCCTTTTGAATACTGGTTTCTTTTCTTTTTCTTTTTTTTTTTCTTTTATATATGTATATATATGTGAAAAGGAAAGCAGCAACGAACGATCGGCGAACGTGCTTTGTCTTGACAAAAAATTTTAATCACGGGTTATAGGATGACTTTACATGAAATTTCGATAATACGTCGTTGAAAACATCACGAAAAGAGCTTGTTTGAAAAGTAACCCAGTCGATCTTTTTTTTATTTTACTTTAAGGCGGAATTTTTGAAAGGATCGTTACGTGTGAATTGATATGATGTTAAATATCAAAAGTCGTTTTTTTTTTTAATTTTTAAGATTGTTTTTTTATTTTGAGATTTGTTTGCGAATCACCTTAAGGAAAAATCGTTGACATCGCCAAGACATTCCTTTCGTTATGCATTCTCTCTCTCTCTCTCTCTCTCTCTCTCCCTCCCCCCCAATCTCTGTCTCAACCTCTATTTTTCCGTTCATCTTTATTTCTTTCATTTCTCGATTCAGTTTTTTTCTCTTTATATATATATATATGTGTGTGTGTGTGTATATATATATGTATATATATAAAAGAAACGCCTTAGATTCATGTTTCAAAGATTGCACGTGAAGGAATCGAAAGTGAAGGAAAAAAGAGAATAGACGATTGAATGGAGCGGGTCAAAAAAAGACGATCGGTTGAGAAACGAATCAAATCATAGGCGCATTTTATGTATTTACACAATTTCTAAAAAGAATGAATTAAATGAAAAGAAACAAAAAGGAATACGGAAAGCAAAAATTAAGCGGAATAAACTGAAGGAAAGAGAAAAAAAGAAAAGTGTACGGTAATCGACTATAGATTTAAATAAACGATTTTACTAGTAAAGAGGAGAATAATCGTAACGACCGGAAATGAAAAAGAAACCCAAAAGTATTTGGCTTAGTATGGCTGTGTTTAGGGCAGTGTTGTAAATCTGAAAGTGGTATACCTTTTGTGGTAGTAAACTCTTTAAGTGCGGACGTTCGAATGCTTGGACGTGCCAACCCGACGATCGCGATCTATTACGATCTATTTTACCGATTGATTTTATTAATTAATTAATAAGAAAAACAAAATGGCAGACTCGCTTTATTAAACTAGGTTCGTTCGCGAACGAATCGTGAAAACAATGATAAGTATATAAATGTATGTGCGTGCGTGCGTGTGTGTGTGCGTGTGCGTGTGCGTGTGGTGTGCAACGGGGTTAGAGGAGAAAGAAAGAAAAGAAAAGATGAAAAGCCTCTTTCTCGAATTGGTTCGAGGACAATTGCGAGTGTAAAAAAAAAATGAATCTTAAATGTGCTCGAACATCAAGAAAGAGATGGCTCATAGATTCGAGGAAAATTGCTTTCGTAAATGATAGAAAGAGAAAGAGAGAGAGAGAGAGAAAAGAGGAAAGAAGGAAGGAAGAAATGAACGAAACGGAAGCGGTTTCACAAACGTCGGTCATGTTGGTACGTCGGCGTTCGTGGCAATTTATTATTGTAACGAAAAGCGAATGATACAACGCTATACATAAATATATATTATACGATTTGTTTTCTTTTTATATTATTGAAACACAATATAGATCGCGGTTATATATCTCATGATGGAGTTGAAACATTATGAATTAATTATTAATTAATTACCGATAGACGATAACTGCAAACGAGAACAACAACAAAAGCTATGGAACATAATTATTATTATTACGCTATTATTATTGAAATACCGACTATAGAGTACTACTTTTTATTATGACAATTTCGTAAAATAGTGAATTAATTATCTAATTAAAGATTAATGAGACGCAAGTGTAAAACATTTATCCCCCCAAAAGATGAAAAAAAGAAAAAAAGAAAGATAACGAACGAAACACACACACCATTTTTCATCCCAGTCTCTCTTTTCTTTTCTTTTCTTTTCTTTTTTCATTTTCCCGGGAGAAAGAAGGAAGTGGTACTCGAGAGGAACGGAGAGAAACGGACGCGCGGTCTCTCTCATTTTCTCTCGATCTTAGCAGCGTGTGAGTTGCGAAAAATGAAAAGGAAAACTCCTGATCCAACACTGCATCGGTCACGATATATAAAAATGTTGTACAATATTTAAACGAGATGCGCGTTCTTTTATTTATTTCTGTCGGTGGGGATTCTCGTCGTTCTCGCTTGTATAAACGAGACTGTAAACGAATGGGAAGGAATGAAAAGAAATGAAGAAAAAAGACACTATCACCTGTCGCCATTCAGGGATATACCCCTTTTTGTATTCTCCTGCTGTAAAGACCGTTTCGCAGAGTGACTTAGGAAAAACTTTAGTTAAAACGTCTTGTTTTCCCCGTGTTCGCTATATATTATTCCTTTTGTAAAACACGTTTTGTAAAATATATAAGTTCCGTTTTTAGAAGTGTGAAGAAAGAAAGAAAGAAAGAAAGAAAGGAAGAAAGAAAGAAAGAGAAAAGCTAGCCTCGCGATCCGCTCGGAGAGGGAATAAAAGTGAATTTAGGTTTTTGCTACAGTTTTATACTCTTGGACGTGAAAATAATAAAAAAAAAAAAGACTTCGTTTTTCTCTTAACGATTTGTAACGTAGATAAGGACACTGTATGTTGATGTTCAATGAATATTTAACCGAAATATTGTTACATTATTATTAAAAAAGAAGTTTTAAAAATACATTCCAATTTTTATTTTTCTCTCAGCTCAGGTTATAAATGTGTACATACATACGTGTATCGAAAGACCAAGATCCTTCGTAAGAGGTATTTCTTATCGATATAGTATTTATATAATCGCGAAGAGTTACTATGGAAAGAAACGAATTATTTTTATCTTATCTTCCGGACAGAGCAGAGCGATCTTCGTATCCGTGTACATCGAAAAGACCCACATTTTTCATTCTATTTGTCACACGTT